ATTTAGAGGTTTTTCACCGTATAATATAGGCTACATAGGGTAAGCCAGAGTAGTAGCTATATTGATTTTTATGTCTGATTTGAATACCTACTCGAACGTGAGAAGTGTTGTAGGTTACAGAAAGTGATACTGATACTTCAAACATCGGCAAAGTCTCATTTAAAGGTTTTTCACCGTATAATATCTGTGCACCTTTGTCAAGTACTTACTAAAATGTACTTTTCYATCTTCTTTTGACATACTGATGGGATTATCACCATCTCCGCGGCAAGCATAGCTGTGTCCTTTCCTTGCTCCCAATGATTCTTTTATCAACGAATTGCGTGGAGAATTTTGAGGTGTTTTACAAAAGTCTATCGATCGATTTTTATTACTAYTAGATGGATCTTTATACTCTTGCGTTACACCCCTGCTAGAAAGCGTTACCTTTACTTGCGTCACGCCCTTACTACATTGCTTATAAGTACTCAAATCATTGTTTGTGGCACCAGGAAAACTGCTTCTGTACAAACCACCACCTTTCTTAAATTTCATGACGTCATTTAGTTTACTAGGTAACTGCGACATATCAATGTCAGGCAGAAAKTCATATCCCATAGTGCAATTCGAATCTCGGACTTGGGAAATGGCATGGATGTCACTAAGAACAGATTCGTCGCTTGGCAACGGTCGAACTTGAATAAAAGTGTTTTTAATATCACCTAATAACTTTCTTTTTTGTCGTTTATGACTTGAAATATGTTTTCTCATCTCGGTTTTCTTAGCTGATGGAAATACTGGCAAAGCGGTGTAAAATATGGCTTTATTTTCTGGTGCAATAGTTTCTAGTTTAGGCAGYCTAAGCGATAGTTTTTCCCCAAAATCTGCGGTTTTCCTCTCTCGGCTTCCTTGAGTCTTGAGTAGTTCTTGTAAATAGACGTCATTATTTGAGAAATATTGCTTTGCTAGTCTTCCATCTGAAGGATTGTTAGTTTGTACATCCACTTCTCTTGGACTCGAGTATCCTTTGCGATAATGGCGCACTGCATCCTTTTCGAACTTCTCATGAAGCTTTATGAGTTCATAAATTGACTTGATTTCCGAGTTTGATAACTCGTTTGACGACAATTTTGAATTGGAATGATGTTTGGTCTTCGTTTCATMCTTTTYTTCCATCAGATAATCTCTCTGTTAATGAGTCAAAATAACAATTCTGTTTTGCTTCGATACGAAAGAGGAACTCCGCGCAATAAACCGAGTGTATCTTTGTTGTTAGGTTGTGGATGTTTCCCTAGMCACAGCAAGTGGCAATGAAAACAATAATAACTGTTATTTCAACACGGAATTATTACTTTGCGGTATCGTCTTGATGCAGTAATTAATATCGATACAGTCTTATTTATAATTCAGAAATATGAAATATTTATAAAGTAACAGCTTTAAAATAATCGATAAAACAGGCACAAAAGGCGATCTTTTCCGCTGTCTACAGGAAGAACTACACAGTTACATGAAAATAGGTGTCATTTCATTTACTTTCTTYCCTTGCATATGTAAATATTTATTTAGTGAACGAGTAAATTTTGTACTTTCCCTCTCTTCAATGGGTATTTGAACGAGTAGACTCTTAACTTATAGTACGCTTTTCCTGTGGATCCCTAAATGATTCAGCAAAAAGAATGATATATTTGTTCAGCAAGAGAACAAAATACGTTTCCCTTTTCGTTCCATTAACATACGACTATTCAGAAAACAAAAGAACGTCACCATAGTAACCAACTTGTCCAAGGCAGATGTATTTGGACAGACTTCTATGCTTTGCAACCGCTCATTTGCAGAGCTTCGTGACGACACAAAGGAGAGGCTACATAGGAGAAGCCAGTGATAGATTAACATCATTACAAAAAATATAAAACATTATCAATTATTACTAATTATGAAATTAATTAATTACAGTATATAATAAGGGATTGAAAATATAATGAGAGATTGAAAATGAATGACTATAATTGCATTCAATTGCCAGTTCATACTTTAATTAATTCATTAATTAACGCGCTTTCCATCAAAAAGAGACGCAACATTTTACCATAAGTATATTTTGTTATTTAATTAAAAGCCATCAAAACTATTCCACATTTAAAGAGAAACAAATTTACATGATCTCAACTCATGACTGAAATATCAAACAAAGACTCGTCAAAAATCTTGATTCCTGGTATGTCCTTAGGTGTGTAAATACTGACATTCATCCGTCCAACCTCCATTATCGGCGGCTCAGGGATTAAAAACCTCCAGTAAGGAAGCTC